TGGACACTGCTGCTACTGAGCGTCAGTGGTGGAGGGAGTGGATGCCTGTAGATGTGGTGCTAATCAAGCGGGCTGTTTTGTCCTGGATAGTGTCAACTTTCTTGAGAGTTGTTGGGGCTGCTTATTAGGCAAGGAAATCAAATCTTATGGAGTAAGATGGGAATGTGGAATTTAAAAAAAGACAGATGATCCATGACCATATAGAATGGTAGTGGCAGGACCGGATAGTCTACTTTTGCTCACAGTTCTAACTAAACATATTACTAACTGTACGCTTTACACGCCAAAGTATCTTTTATAATTTTTGATTTAGTCGTATGCGCCAGGATATATTTTGAAAAAACTAAATCGCCTTGAATTGATCAGGACGTTTAAAATTCTACCCTGTTAAAAATTTCCAATAGGTCCTCATTAATTTTCTAGTGAATTCCAGTGATAAAAAGTGTGTTTTGGCCTAATTCAAAGAAAAAAAAGTGGTAATTTCAGTATCTATGCGATACTCTGTATGTAATCTTCTTAAATGAGTTTCTTTGGGAGCGTTCCCTGTGTCTAAGGTCTCCAAGTCATTTTTACACAATGACCCTTCCAATGTACCCCTCAGAAGAGGTTCAGTTCTGTGCCTATTGGTAGCTGCCTTGGTCAGGTTTGGCACTAAATTTGTTTGGTTTCACTTCAAGGCAGCCTTACCACCAGCACCAGGTCGGCGGTACCTAGAGAGTTTTGCTAGGCCTCATTGGATACCACAGGACATATGCCCTCTAGGTCAGAAATTCCTAAATCGCGTGTAAAGACAGGTTAAAGTCAGAGCTGCCACTTTGCAATCCTGCATTCTAAACTAGATTGAATGGGGAGTGGAAGGACATTTCATAGACTTGGTCAGTCAGTGTTCATGTCTATTAATCCGAGGTTTGTGGGGTGGAGGGGGTGTGTTTTAGGTCAGGGATGTGCCCCCACTCCCGCCGGTCTGTGACGGGAAACTGTAAATTCTGCACCGGTACTTGATAAATGGCAAACGCTTCCGAATGCGATGATGGGATAGTTAAAGAGTGGTGTTCTGAGAATGTATGGCGAGTGGGAATAAAGGAATTTTCCTTAGTGCTTGTGAATGACAGCAGTATCACATATTTTCAAATCAACCTTTGCAGAGGTGTTCTTACACACCTCTGGAGCAGGTGGGATTGAACTCAGGCCTCCTGGCTCAGAAATAGGGACACTACTTCTGTGCCACAAGACCCTCAGCAGAATCTTATATTGAATAATAACAAAATATTCCGCACTGAAGGGATTTTTTTTATCAGATACAATTCCGCTCTTGGCCTTTTTTTGCGTGACTTCTTGCTGTGTTGAATCCAATTTTAACCGATTATGAGATCTGTTAAGCTTAGCTGTGGAGCTCATTTCCGAGTTTTCGTTGCGGAATATCCCACGTGCGGTTGAGTAGCTTATGATTTTGGTTGTCAGAGCCTTGTGCTCTGCTATCACTGTTAACTTCAGCTGCAAATTTGAGGAAGCGGCTTGTCACATTTCCCAGGCTTTTGCTGCGCTCAGCAAGGGCCACACACGAACTCTTGGGCTATTGACCCAAATTAGCATGTAATGAACATGGTTATTGGGAAACGATCTAAGCAATTCGGACCTTTCTCTTGATCAATACAAAGCTGTCGACTTGTGCAGTCACCGTCTGTAAAGCAGTTTTTAAAGTCTGCGGGCCGTCAATAAATGAACAGCATCCTCTGCTGGCGCCTAATCTCGATTTGAATACACTGCATGGTGCCAATGTGGGACCCAGTGGGAAGTGGCCTGGTCCTTTTGTGAGATGTTCATGTCTGAACCCAGGGAAAACCCCTGAGTTCAGGACGTCAATCCTCTTTAACAGAAATACCAGCGGCCCTTCCAAACGCTAGTGACAACATGTTGTACCTATCAACGGGAGAAAGATACCTGGAATTTTTAAAAAAAGCCTCAACAATTTTATTCAGAACAAATTTATTTTGTTTTAACTTTTAAATGACATTATATCATTTCGCTGACCTGAGGCAGATTGTGCATCACATCCCTCCAGCTCCACATTGTGTTATCTCCAGCATCTGCAGTTCTTACTATCTCTGAGAAAGTCCTAAGCCAATACGCTTTCCTGTGTAGGAATTATCCTGTAATACTTAATTTTATTCAAGCTCCTGAAAGAGCGGTTGCCCCGGCGGGTATGTCACTTCTGTCTGCTCCCCTCGGCTGGGTTACAGCAACAGGAGTCTACTTCAACGGCTTCACCTTGCTTTTACTGGGCTTCAGGTCGTCCTGTGTCCAGTCCAACAGTTCGCCAACGAGTTTTGGACTTCACTGGGATCCCCCAAGTTATTTATGATTCAAGTGGGCTTTGACATCAGAGAGGGCTTGATACTCCCCGGGGGAGGGGAGGGGAAGTGGTCATGCTTAAGGCATTGCCATACGATTAATAAACCAATGCCTCCAATCTTCAGCCTGAAAGCTGAGCGATGACGGTATATTTGTAGCACTGGGGTCCAGTGTTGAGTTCTGTCGCACTGCACCCCCGAAAATGTCGTTCTATGTATGTTTAAATGCATTATCTTGTTATCCTCCCGCACGGCGCATACGGACGTTTCAGGCTCTATATAAATGCCAGTCGTTGGTGATGGAGAGCAACGACCTGGGGGTTCATTTCTTGCAGAGTTCATTCGAAGGCGCTCAATCAATTCGTTTGCGTACGAACATAAATTCATTCAGTTTTCTGCTAAACGAAACAAAACCAAATGGGAACTAAGATGATGGCAGAGGTTTCAGATGAGAAACACTTTCAGTCACAAGGAGAGGTATCGAGTATTAACTTCCCATCTCACTCATAATTGGAATCATAAACGATCTTAATGATAGGCCGGTCCCTTGAACAAATCTCCAGATTGTCCTATATAATTCTGCCCTTCTGGAGCACATTCCACCGAAAAATACAATGTCATCAGATAACTAACATCGGTTTTAAATCTGCATGCCAAACCAACCTCATTGGCAGATTTTAATTCACGCGATAGAACACGGTTAACAAACTGAAACTTGTTCAGCAAAATAACAAACAATTAATTGAATTAAGAGCAGGGCAAATTCAGGGTCTGTTGTGTTGCTGCGCGGCATTGTAACTACACTCCCTCTTTGAATATAGTATTTCCCGCTGATGTTTCTGAAATAACACCGCCCTGTATAATTACTGCCGATGTGGTTCCTTATTCAATCAGCGGCACCAATGTCTATCAGCGCGAGAGCGATACTGTCCATTCACCAGGTATTCTGAATTAGTTATTACCACTGTTAGTTATTCCATCATCCAGTCATTCATTTTGCCAGCGCTCCTGCTGCAGGCGATCTCTCGAACTAAACGCGAAAGAAGATTTAGCCGCATCTGTATTGAAGAAACTGTAGCTTTGTAATTTTATAATTGTCCGATTGTCACAGAACACTAATTTATATCAGTGCCATCTCTTGTCCTCTGACCCTGTCAAATGCCCACTGGTATTTAGTTTATTCTCCTATCCTTTCTGAGGTGACCTTTTCTTGCGTAAAAAAACCTCGTTTTGTTTTTTTTTAAGAAAATAATTAAATCAAATGAAGTAAATATCAAGATGGATTAAACCACTCGTGGTCATTGAATAGATCCAGAAGTTCTGAACTATCTGCCTTAGTCCCCATTTTACATAGCTGCTCCCACTTTCCGCTGTGACCTGCAATCTGAACCCTATTTTGCTCGTTTATAAAGTGAACGGATTTATCTCCCCGTCTGTACAGTTTCATTAACGCCATCTAATTGAAGTTCCCAATCTCTTAAGCCCACCCCCCAAAAAAAGAAATAATTAAAGGAGGAAGCTCCGGTTTGAGTGGAGTTTAATTCACTGTTCAATTCATAGAACCGCCTCCAAACTCCACACTATTTTCCTAAGAAGTCTGACAACGTCCCATCGGCATATTATGGGATGCCCGTTATTTTTCTCGCCCCGTTATCCTCGCCACCACTAACACCATTACCGCAGCACTGCTCCCCCTCCCCTTATCCCCAACACATCCCACCCTTTATTTATTTTTTGTAACAGCTGCAATGGCGTGAACGGAGAAACGACAGAGAGATTGGATCTTCTCATTAAAAGTAAACGCCATTTCAACGGCCGACTTCAATACAAAAGCCCTTCTTCGTTCTCATGGTAATTACCGAAGTACACACACACACACACAAAGGCAGGTTACTTCGTCCGCGTGTGAAAAAAATGTCCTTATAACGGTAATAAATTACATTGTCTGATTCCCTCTGACGCTTCTCGGTGACTGTAAGCCTGCTTTCCAATATCGCTCAGCGGATGCCTTCAGATCTGGAACGGGGGTTCTTTTGGAAGCAAATAACTTTCGAATGCCGGGAAATATTCATTCGAACCTCGAGAATTGAATCAAAAACCGTGCCTCTTTCTTCCAGCTACTCCGCGATGTTAGCTCACAGCACAATCAAGCGTAGAAAGGCGAAACTGAATAAAATGTCCACTTCACCCACAAAGGGAACCGCTCGAAATGTTAATGACCCGTCGCCAGACTTAGTGCTTACAAAGTGCACGACCTGAAAGTAGAAATCATCCAAAAAAAAATTGCCTATGGTCCGGGCGACTAATTTTTCTGAATATTCGGTCCAAGAAGGGCCTGGTTTTATTTTTTTTGTGGGGGAAGCTTTATGTGGAGATCCAGGGGTGATTTTTAGGGAAGAGTTTGAACATTATTCATGAATTATTTTTTCAAACACAACTAATCATCATGTCTCAAGGAGAGAGGTAGGGGAGAACCCAAGCCACAACATCACCGCAAGTTTAAAAAAAATTGCAGAAGTTTTAACACATCTGTGCTAGAATGTACAGCAAGTGTTCATCCTCCCGGGTCGAGCCAGAGATTCGGGTAGAGAGGCCGTAAATCGCCAAATAAACTTTCCTACAACAGCCTACACCCAGATGGTCACTAACTGGAATTACAATATAATTTATTAAACGCTAACGAATTAAAAAGACACCGTACTTTTTTTTTGTTTAAAACGCACAAACACAAATTCTGACGAGACTTGGCATTCAGACTCCACAAGATTGCAAAACACGAAGAAATGAAACTAAATCTATACATTAAAAACCAAAGCCAACGCTAATTTTAAACGGATCTGTTCTTATACAAAATGTATTTTACACATAAATATTCACAGTTATTTCTTCTTTCTGTTCGGCATTTAATACACGGACTATTTACATGTAGCGGAGCTCCTCGGTCTTCACAATCTCAGTCTCTGAGCGGAATATATTTCTGTGCCTATCTCGGTGTAAAAATGTTCGAGATTGGGGGCTTAAGCGTCCTTCACAGGAGAGGCAGATGGGAATTAGTGCTTAAACCGCTCATCAAATCTTCCCATAACTTATATATAAAAATATATACATCTCTGAAAATGTACAGAGAAGTGGTAAATAGACAGTTTAGTGCTAGGTTCCGCAGGATGAGGAAAATAAAAGCACCGGACTCTCCCTATGAGCTTTCGTTTTCACTGGTAAGAACGTGCAATGTGTTGGGTTTGTGTTTCTTGAGTAACTGGGAGATTTTTTCGTCGTCAGAATTGGGATCCAGCGGCTTGTTGTATTCATCATCGTCATCCTCGTTTTCCGAGGTGCCCTTCAGTCTCTCTGTCTCCGAGTCCTGCTTCTTCTTGGCTGTGGCCATCTCTGCGGCATGTTTCTTCCTCCACTTCGTCCGTCTGTTTTGGAACCAGACCTGAACCGAAAGGAGCACAGTTAATGTCAGTAATTGGAGGAATGCGTTTACAAAGAAACACACACGCGCGCACACATACACACACACACACACACAGGATGATTTACATTCGCTGTGAAAACTCTGGGCAGTCAGTTCCCCCTCGAATACACAAGTCAGAAACTTGCACTCGTGTTACCTTCGTTTGTAATTGAAGATGGCAATTTTGAACGGGCTGGATTGACACTCGTGTAACGACTCAGGGACTGAGAGGAGACTCTTGGCGCAGATGAGCTCCTCCACCTCAGAGAGCTGCGCTGCTACCGTTAGTTTTCGGAGTTATAGACCACTTGGGTGTTTTACGGCAAACCCCACTTGGTATGAGCGTAGAGTGACAGCGCGAGTGACATTTAAGTTGCGCTTCGGAGAGAAAGCACGGTTTGAATGAGGTTTCTAAATATCGGAATATGGCTTGTCCTTGGCAAGAATAATTAGGCATGTTTTAGTTTATTGACCATGCGCTATTTAAACTGGTTCTCACAATCTAGAAACGCCATACACGAGCCCATCTATACAGCGTCCTGAGATAAATTAAGTCCTGCGACAGTTTAATCTTTATCTAAGAACTCATAAAAGTAAATTACTTATATCCCAGCGGTGAGCTTCTTACCGTTTCTTTAAAAACAGACAGATTACAATTTGCAATGTTCTATTAATATTTACGCAACTGATGTGCTTAGCTCTTATCTAATTTGCTTTTAATGATGGAGATATTTTATTTGTGCTATCGGCAACTTTTCTCTGATTGTTGCGGTCGTGGGAGCGGTTGTCTGAAAGGACAACAATCGCTTGGCGGAGGAAATGCACAAGCGAGCGCGCTCCAAATCTCAAACCAGAGAAAATCTCCCCAATAAAAAACAAATTAGATCAGACACTGCCCGCCAAAAACAAATCAAACGGAAGAATCAAAAAAAAATCGAAGTGCAAAAGACGAGACAAGGTGCGTGTAGACTAAACGTGGGTGCTGCCAAATTGATTAAAAAATACAATTTACAGTGGAACAATAGATGCTAAAATAAGATGTTTTTGGGGGTTTGAAAATATCACTGCTTAGGAATCAGTCGTTTACACATCAAGAAACGATAGTTTGGATAAGCTCGCATTTCAAAGTTTTGTTGCAATTAACTTATTTCGATTTTAATTTTCACTTTTTTTCAATAATATAAAATTCCTAATTTTATCAGATCAAATATAGGTTTGTGAAAATCGACCCCATACCCCGGCGTTACCCCACGTTGACCTATCTGAATCTTTGCTGCATCTGTCAAGCAATCCTACCTTGACTTGACTCTCAGTCATTCCCAGTGAGTACGCCAGTCTCGCCCTCTCGGGTCCGGCTAAATATTTCGTTTGTTCGAAAGTTTTCTCCAACGCGAAAATTTGTTGGCCGGAAAACGTGGGCCTGGTGTGCTTTCTCTTCCCGTCTTTATCGATCAGCATGGCGCTCTGATCTGAAAGGAGACAGTAAGCGGCGCGTCAAACAACAGACAGAGCTTATTTATTTCAGGGGGAAATCTGGAGCTGGAAAAGGATTACAGATGCATTTGGTCAGAATGCCAGCACAACGACGGAATAATACAGTTGGACAATTAATATTGACAAAATATGCAACAAGTTTTGATCAACTGGCCAAATTAACAGTTCTTTACAGAAATAAATGATATATATTTTTACTAAGGTGGCAAATGGTACTTTTGAAATAATTGTTAAATACATGCAAAAACCAGTTATTGATATTCAGTTACTGACAATTCTTAACTATTAATTGGACAGAAATACAATCAACTATTAGGCATAAGTGTCCAATAGGGCAATACATTTGAAAATGATGTTTACAGAGTATTGAAGCAAAAGGAACGAAACTAATTCGAGAGATGAATGTCTGGTGTTTAAGTGGCAGGTTAGAGGGGACATAAGGGTTTGTACTTACGCGGGGAGCAGCCTAGCCGTGCATCTCTCCAAGGTGGGCTCTGCATCACTCCCGGCCAAAAGATGGGGCTCCGGCCGGGCAGTTCAGCTAGCGGTTTAGGGTAACGGGCGACCGCCGCTGCCGCCGCCGCTGCCGCCGCCGCCGCCGCCGCTCCCGGGCTGAAGTACATGCCCGGGGGTGGGGGGCTGAGGCTGGCGTTGAAACGAGGGATTCCCGAGAGCAGGGCAGAGGCGACCCCGCCTCCCCCTCCGCCACCTCCACCTCCACCACCTCCTCCTCCTCCTCCTGCACTCCCACCTCCTCCACCTCCGCCCGGGAGCATCACCGGCCGGCTCAGGATGTCGTTAATACCGTGAGGCGTGGTGGACGAATGTTGCTGGGCCAGAAAACCGGGCAGGCTGGAGGTCGACTTGAGCCCAGTGGAAGCGGCCGCGCTGATAATCCCCGCCGGGCTAGGGGACGTTGAGATGGAGGAAGCGCCGGTGACTGAGCCGGGCCCCGTCTGCAGCGAGTAGGGGTTCAAAGGGTTCTTCATCTCGGTCATACTATGCAGGGCCGCTAAGGGCGGGCTGCTCAGCACGAACGCGCTCTGGCGGCTCCCCTCCATCTGTCCGACCGCTAACATCACCAAAAAAGTGATCGGAACCAGTCAACAAGTCATCACAAGGAAAGGGGGAGGGAAGAGAGGGGAAAAGGGGGTGGAGGAAGAAGGTGGGGGGCGAGAGAGTTGGATGAAAAACACCACCACTAGCAGCAGCTTCAGATCGAAGGAAGTCCGAGAAATTCCCCCACCCTTGCAATTTGGGGAATCTTTTAATTAACACAGAGAACAGAAATGGATTCAGAAAACAGCTCTCTCCCGTTAGATTCCCAGGTACGGTGATGAGGTAGGGTGGGGGCTTGTTGATTGGAGTTGATATTCTTGCTCTCAGAAGTGTTTGCACAGTTTTGGGTTTTTTAATATAAAAAAGAGATTTAGACTTTTTTTCAGCTCTCGCCTCGCCGCCCCACATGAACCAGCCAGTGGTAATAAAAGCCTCTCATCACTTTGAGACGTTTTGAGAAGTGCTCCGGACAGAAAGTGCAGGAGAACGTTCCCCACCTCCCTGTCAATCAAAGGGCATGGGCTAGAAATGGGCTTTTTGATTGGCCAGATCTTCACGGACGTACGGAGATTCCGTCTCCTCATTGGAGAATAAACCATGGCCCACCCCTTCGTTCATTTACATACCGAAAGCGACTGACCAGAAAGAGCTTTGAGACTCCAATAGTGCGGAGGGGGTGGTCTAAACCCAGTGCACCTTGTACTTAAAAACATTTGAAAACAACACATCTGACGGCGACTTTGCTTCACTGAGCTAATTTAAGGCTGGGGTTATGCTTTAAGGATGCGAATTGACCGAAAAAGTCCCATTTTACAAGAACCCTACGGCTGGCCTTAGGTGTAAATTGAACGGGTTTCTCAAGGAACGTGCCGATTAAATATGTTTTATGTAGGTAGTGATTTAAACAAACGTAAAGGTACAACGAGACAGTGGAGACAGATGCCACCGTGGTTCCAGTGGCCGGCAACTTGTTATGAACGTGTCAAGTGATCTAAAGTTTGGGGGGTGGGGCACTTACGCCTAATCTTTATCTTCCTCGCCATTATAACGTTACGAATTAAAATGGTGATTTTCGAGGGAGAAGTCTACAATTGGTTTCAAAAGAGATCTATCGAAATCAAATCAGTCGTGGATGAATTAAATTGTGATGATAATGCATGCTAGGATCATTCGCCCTCCTCCCCACGAACGCACTCTTCAAGCCTGTTTATTCAGAATTAGTCGTTTATAATGAACGCTCAATACTCAATGTTCCTCCTTGTTCGGTCACTGACACTGTTCTGTTGACTTAGATACCTTTCTGCTGCCTCACCGTTAATGGACTTCAGAAACGATGGAGACTTGATTTTTTTGTCGGAATTCCAAGGGCAGAAAAATATTTTTCCTTGATTATCTGTTCTGAGAGCCATCTGAAACTATTTTGTTGTCAAAGTATTTCGCCTGCAATAGGGTTCAAGCGGTGAAAATGAAATGAACGTACATTGTGCCTTCCCCCACTCTCCAACTCACTAACAGCCCTAGTTCAGTGCTGGGGATCATTTATCGATTCTCGTTGGCTTTAGCATTGACAACGCAGTTGGTTAAAGGGATTTTTCATTCTATTAAAACAGAACTAAATACCGAGAACAAAACCGAGCTTCTAATGAAAATAACAGTGAATACAATCATAATCTGTACAATTTGTGAAACAAAGCAGCATGTGTCTTATATCGATAGTAAACACCACAGCGACCGTGTTACATAATGTACACACTTCTGCAGAAAATGACTTTGGTGAAATCCTTTTCACTGGATTAACAGTGAAATGCTGTACTATTTAAGAATATTAAGCTAGTTAAGAGCGTTTTAAAATACTTGAATGAACAGCTGGTAGACTTACATTCAAAATACTGGACCAACATCTTCCTGTTTATAAGGAATTCTGACTTGTTGCTAAAATTGGAACAAATTACGCCTACAATTAGTGGTAGATATTCATATGAGACAACATTATGATGTTTATTTCTCCAAATTATTGTCTTATTTAACGAATTATATGGACAGTTCGTACTCAGTAAAACCTATATATTCTATAGATGGGTGTATGTATTCCATATTTATCTATTGGGTGTGCATAAATAGCACACGTGCAAAAATATCCACATCCAAATATTTGTTACTATTGCATTTAGATGTGTTCCAGAAGAATATCTCATTTATTACAAATAATGACTTTTGTAAATATTTTGATCAGACAATCAAGATATCCTTCTTTTATTGTATTTTGTTTTCATAAGGTTTCGTGATCTATCCGGGTATGTCTTCTGACAATAGATTCCACCGCTCAAGCCTCAGTTCACACCAGTCAGTAATTCATCTCCATCAAGCCTTCGGCTGTTCTGACTTCAAGTCCCGTGGACTCTGCAGCGAGTTGCAGCAAACCGCCAGCAACAACACCACACAGACTGGCGATCCTCAAACTTCTGCACTGCACCGAAGGAGGTTCGTATTTCTGCGCATTTCCAGTGAAGCCAATTCTTTGCCAAGGATGAAAACTGGAAATGTATCAGAAGCCGCGCAGCTTCAGGCCCGAACACCTCACCAGATACGGGTTTAAACTGAAATGTCCTCGTTGGTGACCCTTTCACAATGACTCCTGAGTAAAACACAGAGCTATCTTCGGTAGCGCTTTGTCGGCGAAATAACAACTAGTTTTAATGTCAAATAAATGCCTATCAGCTGTACAAAATTTTACAAGAGCTATATAGTTTATTCGAACCGTCTTTGGCATTGGGGAAGATTGTCGAATGAATGTGACATTAGAAGGTTTGCTTACACTGTGTGTGAGCTGGGATGCCCTCACACTTGTAGATTTGCAGACGAGCGCTGAGTCGCTCATATCGCGACACCTAGCGGATAGAAAGTCAAGCTGTCTCAAAATGCTGACTTTCCACTTGTCTGTGAATACAATTTTGGAAAACTGTAGCTCTCATGCAGCAGTGACCCTATCTCTAGGCTGAAAGGCCTGCATCCAAGCCCTTTTTGCCCAGGTGTGGGGGAGCTGGGGGGTGTGGGTTGTGGAGGAGAGGAGTGTTATAACATGCCCCCCAAAAGGCCGATTCAGAATTCATGCATTCAACACCCACTAAACCGTTGGTTTTTCTGCTGATTATAAACAGCAGGAAACGCGTGAGCTGTTAAAACGCGCGCTTTCCTAATATCCATTCCCAGCTTTCTGCTGGAAATACAGAAGTGGGAAATCTGACCCCCGCCCTGTAGTGGGGGTGAGTGGTTGCGGTAGCGGGGTGTTGAAGTCATAAGAGATCAAGCCCCAAGTTGACAGCATTAAAGTGCGGTGCGTGCTCAAAAAAAAAGAACCTTCTGGAGGTACGGGGCGCGGGGGACACACAGACAATTGATCATCTGCTGAAACGTGAGGTTTGACATGGTTCGGATGCAGGGTCTATCATAAGTTTGTTGAGAGCTCTGGAACTGAGCTAAGCGTGTTGCTGATTTCAAATTTACTGAAATATGAGCTCCTTTTTTATGTCGAAAGGATTTGAGGTTAATATTTTCAGATAAGAGAGGGCGCAGTGATTTTACTCCATCGCTTGTGAAATATTCTCTGTTTGGAACAAACGGCGGGAGAGAACTTTTGTCGAATTTGGCCTCACTGGGAGCGATATTGGAGGCTGCGTCTGTTTAAAGTTGGCATTTGCAGCAGAAGGCGAAACAAGACAGAAAGGCCACTCGGTCGGATGTGGCTTGCAAGCTGATTGCCGGTGATTCGGTTGATCATTCAAGGAGGTGTGCTCCCATTAATGATTACTTCATTATTAACCTCAATAATCTGCTAGTCGCTTCCCGGAAAAGCGAGCGGCCTTTAGCTTCCCTGCTGAAGTCAATCAGGTCAGCATCGCCTGACGGCTAGTCCATTGAAAGCTGTGACCAGGAAACTAAACTGGCATCCCGGATCGCTTAATCGATGGTGCATCGTAAATTCCTGGGGAATCTTGACGACAGAGAGATCACCACTGGGTAAAGGGGCGAGGCCTAAAAAGGCAACAAGACACCGATCTGAAAGTGTGAGCAAGTCACTGTTGAACTTTTTTCTGAATTTTCTGAATTTTTTCTGAAAGGTCTAGGCCCGAAACGTCAGCCTTCCTGCTCCTCTGATGCTGCTTGGCCTGCTGTGTTCATCCAGCTCTACACCTTGTTATCACTGTTGAACTCTTTAGCTTTTCAAATCTTTTCGCCTTTTGCCGCCCAAACCCCGATAGCTAGCGGCGCGTCCACAGCAGTGCAGAGGTATCTTAAATTTTTTTGGCATTTAATATTTTGCATTCGCGTTTTACTTATTGGTTTCACAAGTGAACATACATTTTTTTAAAAAAAAATGTCTGGGGTGGGAGATCTCAATGCTTCATATTCCTGAAGTCATTTTGTTGAAAAAAAACATTTTACCCTCTCTCTCTCCGAGTGCATTGGGGGGAAAAAAACTGGTACTTCGAGTCTCGACCTCCGTATGAGCGTCTAGTGCTCAGACGCGGTGTACTCACCCTAGCACTGGGTTTCATCGAGATTCATAGCCGTTCTGTGATGAACTCCCCCTGGTTCGCTTTTATCGGGCAGGGTGTCTGTACCTTGCGCTGCTCTCTGTTAATGTTGTACAGCCGCTCGCCTCCAAGAACCTGTCGCCCAGCGCTTCCCCAACAATTACAAGAATTCATCTCGAGGATTTACCCGCTGACAAGCTACATCATTTATATGTCAATAACAGAGATTGCCGGAGAAACTCAGCAGGTCTGGCAGTATCTGTGGAAAGAAAAACAAGAGTGAACGTCTCGGGTCCAGTGACCCTTCTGCAGAACTGCCGAGTTTCTCCAGCAATTTCTGTTTTTTTTTGTTTCAGATTTTCAGAATCTCTGTTCTGTGTTTTATTTTGTTCCTGTATCAGACGTACTCGGGTCGAGATAGCACTCTGCTAACTTGTCCGCTCTTGCAAATTGCCCGTTCGGAAGTTCAGGGTCACTGTATTATATAGACCACTAAATTCGGTTAATATATTTTGAGATCGAACCCGGATAATGATACAAATAAATTGAGGGGCTAGCTTTAGTATGGAGTGCCCTTTTTTGAATATGAAGATGCAGGTAGGGTTTGTAACATTGTCAGATCTCGCCTTGAGAAACCTAACTGGCTAAACATGTTAACGGTCCCAGACCCATTCGACCTTCTCCACATTATTTACGAATCATATCGATGCTGAACGTTATTCTAATCGATTTTCTCTTACAGACAGTGCTGCTTGGGTTTATTTTACAATCTTCTTGATAAGTCCGTAAAACACAATTTGATAATAAAAAAAATAGAAAAGGTACAACATACCGTGAACAAGATCGCTTATGATTTAGCAGTTGGACTGAAACCCCCGCCGGGACAGGCCCAGTTTTCAAGCTGGGTGAACACAAAGGAAGGAAATTGATGAATAATAAATCGATAAACGATAGAAGTTGGCAGGAGCTGGAATATAAAAGCCAGCGATGGCATTTAACTATATTGTACTTTGCGCCAGTAACTTAATTCGCAGAGATATTTGGCCTCGCGCTGTTTATAAGTAAGTGAATAAGTGAGTGTCGGCAAATATAGTTGGGGTTTGCTGGAAACTATCTCCCCTGGATTTAGCAGGAGATCAATAGGCGTATTTTTTATGACTATTTAACCAAAGGCTGGTGGTTACAAGTTGACCGAGTGTTAATTACCCCCTGTCAGCACCTCAGTGGGACCAACATTGACTGGCAAAGTGCTAAAACGTCAGTCAGCAGTTTTTTTCTCTCTCTCACTCTGTATCACTCACCCCTCGGGGTGACCGCCGTCATTATTCCCAAAGACAAGCGCCTTGTCGAGATTATGTAAAAGCAACAGCTATCTAATTGCCAGTGTTGTTCAGAGAGGCAGCTTTCATTATTATCAATCTTATTATCTCTTTTTGTATCTGAGGAACATGTTAGGAATTTAGTCGACACAAGAGGAACAAGGGAATATAGCCAGATTCCATCCAGGCGTAGATTTATCTCCGTCTAATTTCAATGACAATGTTTAGAAGCAAAATAGTTTAACCATTTTCTCTACAATTGGATCAATTTAGGGGGAAAAAAGAAATCAATAACCAAACAGCAATGGGGTCTATTATCTGCCCAAACGGGGTTATGTCATCGGGTACAATGTGAATGAGTGACTGAATATAACTCTCGAGCTGATTTAAATCAGATTTAAATGGCCTCAGCCGCTAGTTCTTAGAGCAGGTAAAGGGATCAAATTGTTGGTCGTCATCAACATATGGAGCCTCATGAAACCACACAGGGTTTTCCACGCGGCGCAATTTATACACTGATTTGGATTGCGCCCCGTCATCGCAGAATTTACATCCAACATCAAAAAAAAATAAAGTGCGGCTGAAAACCGACCCAGAGCGGCGCACTGCCCAGAGAAAGACCACTTCACTGTCTAGTCATTGAGGCCCTGACGTTTAACACAATCCGCGATAAATCAAACGTGAGATTGGCCGTTTCGGGAGCATTAGCCAAATGTTTAATTACGGATTAAGAGCGGTGTGAGGAGAGTCACGCATTATAGGCAGTCAGTAGTTTGCGCGGTATCCCGGGATAAGGCATGTCATCTGGAAGGACCATTACTGATCCACACTACACCTGTCTGAATAACTCACATTGTTCAGCACCGTTTAACACTATTGTGTCTTAACAAGATATTTTTGGACTCAGCAGTTTTTACTTTGCTTTATTTGCAGTTATGAAAGGCGTGTCAGTACCGAATTTCACTCCTATAATATCATTATGCGGAGGGGAATAATCAAATAGTTAACATTTTGTGTTTTAGAGACAGAGGGATAATAAAAAACCGACCCAATTTATATTATTATTGAAAAAAAATCATTCACACTACTATCTTCCCAAACAACAGCTGGATTCTGCACTGCTTCTGTCTGCAAGTGAGCAGCTACAGGGCGAGCCTGGGTTGGAAGAAGAGGGTCTGATGTGAGGAGTAATATTCCCTGGAGATTTAGAAAAAAAGGATTGAATTTGCGGTTCAGCAGAGCGGGCGACGATCCCAGATGTAAGCATCTGCCCACATCATCTGTAACAGCTCCAAAAAAATTCTTAATTCTCAATTCTCGAAAGTGGTTATTCTTGCTTCTTTGTGAATGTGACTGCGAGGTAGACAGAGAGAAGGATATAAGTCCTCACAAGTTGTATAAAGACACATGCGTTCTCAGGGAGAGGGTACATCAAACCTGCAGCATGGATGGAGTACTGAACACGGAAAGGTTTTAGACTCTCTCTCACGAATCCCAGGAAGCTCAGTGGCCAGAACAGGTTCCAGACCTGATCAAACCTCAAACTGTCACCTCAGTTCATGGCCCACTGTGAACCCCCCAATCTCTATTTCCAACCACCGGCGGTAACCTAACGATTGCATTTTGCCAAAAAGAAAGACTGAAATTGACTTAATGGGATTCATTTCAATTCTGAAACATGCTGGATATTTTAGAACACGGTCACTCAATTGTGTAGATTCGGTTTCTGTACGAAATTTATTTGCCCTAATATCAGTGACTGAGGTAATCGGTCTCCGTACTGTTCCGCACCGCCCTCTGACTAGTCGAGTGGCCAAAAGATTTTGGGAGGAAGAAATTCAAACCTTAACATCAGCACCCCCCACCACCCCCCACCTTCCCCCAAACTCCATCTGACACCTGCAAATGCCAATCCAGGATCTGAGCAGACAAATTGAAACTGGCAATCCAGCACAAAAGGAAGTTGCTGGAGAAACTCAGCAGGTCTGTGGAGAGAGAAACACAGTTAACGTTTCGAGTCCAGTGATCGGTCCTCACATTCCAATGTGTTACTGAGCGTGTGGTGTACGTTCCCAGACGGCTTCTTTTGGTTGGGGCATTAAAACCGAGACCCGAACTGCCCTTACATGTGGGATGTAAACGACTCCATAGCAGTCCTTTGAAGAAGAGCAAGCATGGTATCCTCAGAGATAGTAAGAACTGCCGATGCTGGAGTCTGAGGTAACAGTGTGGAGCTGGAGGAACACAGCAGGCCAGGCAGCATCAGAGGAACAGGAAAACTGACGTTTCGGGTCGGGACCCACGGTATCCTCTTGTCCGCACCAATGTCAATCATGTAAGCATCTCCAACATTTCAGCACTTCCAAAGTAATGCATTGAAAGCAAAGGCAGTGGGGGAGGGGGAAGAAACGCTGTATAAATGGCGTTGTAGGTCAACCCACAGCAGATGGACTGCAGCGGTTCAAGGCGGCAGCTCACCACCACCTTCTCAAGGGCAACTAGGGATGGGCAATAAGTACTGGCCCAGCCAGCGACGCCCACATCCCACAACATGAATATAAACTAAAAAAAAAGTCTTTTCGTTTTTCTAACTGGGCAAAGAGATGAGGAGGACTCAGTGGTAACCACTGGTGCCTCGCAGTACCAGGGACCCGGGGGTGATTCCACCCTCCGATGACCATCTGTGTGGAGTTAGCACATTCTCCCTGTGTCTGCGTGGGTTTCTTCGGGGTGCGCCGGTTTCCTCCCACAGTCCAAAGATGTGCAGGCTAGGTGGATTGGCAATGCTAAATTGCCTGTAGTGTTCAGGGATGTTTAGGTTAGGTGGGTTAGACATGGGAAATGCAGGGATAGGGGAATGGGTCTGGGTGGGATGCTCTTCGGAGGGGCGGTGTAGACTTGTTGGGCCGAATGGCCTGTTTCCTCACTGTAGGGACTCTATGAACTATGAACTCAACCTGAAACCGTTCACATCCCAATATTCAATATCCTTGAGCAAATTTGTATTTATTCTACATTTCAACTTATATTGTTGTAATCATTTATATACCTCAATTGAAGTTTACACATGTTCTGACCGCGATAATATCACAACAGAAATGGGAATGCTAACAATTTTTACCTTCCTGTTTTGGAAGTTCTCCGCAAAAGATCCGTATTTCTGCAAAAAGGAGAAGAAGTACGAAAGCAGAGGAGGTTAGTGAAAGCCTCAATAAAGGAAGAGAGGGAGCGCCATAAGTGCGCGCGGAATGAGAGAGAGCAAAGCAAAACCAAAAGAAACAGGATGGCAGTGAAATGAAATAGGAGAGCAACTGAAGCAGAATCGAACTAAGCGCCTGAGACATTTTTGAATCAGAAACTTAACTCGCCTGAAAGTTTCCTGGTGAGATCCAGATTAATACAATTGAGAATCACTGGATTACGTTGTTTTGTTCATGTTATGTTTTATTTCCATTTAATGTAAAGAAGATCAATTGGCCTGAGTCAATCTTGAGCAAGGCTAATTAAGCGAGTCATGTATCTTGGGGAAAGAAACCCAGTGTTAAGCTATAAGACAGTTACACTCATTGCTGGCAACACCCAATGAATGCCCAATGTTTACAGGCTAGTTACAGGGTTCACTGACCACTTGATTTTATATATTCAACAAGTATTGCTTCTTTAAGTTGGTATTTTACCTTCCAGTACTTATTCTTAGCATACCTTGAGCAGGGTGAATTAACATCTGTGTATTTTCACTGAGTTAGTATGGTTGCATGTGCCCTGAAGCGTACTTTTTTTTGACTAAAAATTCACACAATCTGAGTGACTGTATAACTGATGCATTGAAAATTCAAAAATGTCATTCTCAATGGTGCTTGCTGTACACAGGCATCTAAGATGAATTAAAATAAGTTAATAAATAAAGGATTTTAGACCAGAGTTCTCGGACAAATATAGGAGACTGTACTTTCATTTAGTTAACCGAACTATTTGTATTTTTTAAAATTCACAGCATATTGCTAATACAATTAAGGCAAAATTTATTATCCATCTGTTATTATACTGAAAGAAAACAAGAAAGACATTTAAGTAATATAGGCCTTTCACAATTTCTGGAAACCTCAAAATATTTTAAAGCCAATGAAACACTATTGCACTAAATAAAAACCAAAAGAACTGCGGATGCTGTAAATCAGGAACAAAAACAAAGTTGCTGGAAAAGCTCAGCAGGTCTGGCAGCATCTATGGAGGAGAAAACAGAGTTAACATTTCGGGTCTAGTGACCCTTCCTCAGAACATTCCTTAAACACTATTGCACTGTTCAATTTGAAACATCACGGTCAATTTGCCACAACAAGGACCCACAAGATCCCAACAAAACAACCTGCATTTATGTAGCACCTTTTCTGAAGTAACATGTCCAGTGAGGGATATTCAGACAGAAACTGATACTGAGTCAAGGGAGAACAGAAGACATGTCTAAAAACCTGCTTAAAGAAGAAGATTTGAGGGAGTGTCATAAAGGAGGGGGAAAATGGAGAAGAAAGAGATATAGGAAGTGAATTCCATTGTTTCTAATATTACCACCAGATAATGCCATACTTACTTAGATTTAGTTCCTCTAGTTCCAAGCAGAACAATGGGCAGCATCCGGCCCGAGTACATCACAATCTCTTTCACCCAATTCCAGGTGGGATCCTGCCCTTGAATGTTCTCCATCAATGTATTTTGGCAGGTTTATTTTGGCTGGCCATGTCTACTTTTTCCATCTGCTCATGTCCATTCTACTGCAACTCCATCGGGATGCACATCCAGGAGATGAACCATGTGTCCTGCCAGTCAGTCTCATCATTCCCATCCAGATGATTAGTGTCATGGGATCTTATGGATGCAGAATTATTGGCCAGCATGTCACCAAAGATCCTTAGACAGCATCTTCCATTTGGAGGACAAGGGCAGCAGATAGATAGGAACACCACCATCTGTACATTCCCCTCCAAGCCACTCACCAACCTTACTTGGAAATATATCGCTGTTCCTTCACTGTTGCTGTGTCATAATCCTGGAATTTCCTCCCAAGGAGCATTGTAGGTCAACCCACATCACGTGAACTGTAGCAGTTGAAGAAGGCAGTTCATCACCATCTTCTCAAAGGCAACTAGGGATGGACAATAACTAAGCCAGTGACAACCACATTCCACAAGTGAATAAAAAAAGGAGCTGCCAGATATCTTCCTGAATAATAACACTGATTTACATTAATGCATTCTCATCCTCCCATATACATACAAGAGAACGAGGAGCAAGCAATGCAGATAACAATGAGATTTAAAGGAGAGCAGGGTAGGGTGAAGACAGCATCAAAGAGGCAAACTGGATTGAGATTTTGAAAAAAAAGACAGCTGGCAATGCTACCTGGCTTTGGAGGGATTTCCAATGAGCAGGGGTGCAAGATTAACAACAATGGAAATAAAAGAGCTAATCCACATTCAGTATTTATGTTTTTTGAGATGGTGGATATGGGATAAGTATTAGTAGCAATTAATTACCATTTCCTTTTTGTTTTAGCAATATCACATACCCAATTTGAGGCAGTATGTAGACATGGTGAAAACAATTATTTTTAAGATGAGAACAGTCACTTCTGACAACTGAAGATTGAACAGAGTGCATTTTATCTTCACATAACCAAAACAATAAATAATTGGGTAAGTAATGTAGTAGGAGCCTTAAACCTCAATGGGAGATAGAAGACCTCAAGACAACTTCATAAAAGGCCATACAGTAATTCTTAAAATAGAGAACAACCCACTCCATTGTAATTAAAACTAACCAAAAGATTCTGATGATCAAATTTTCAGGATATAATTACCTAGGATAATATGGTAATTAATATCCTTGGAGAGTCTGATTCTATTGTTCAAGTTCAAGGGCACAAAACTAAAATACCTATATTCACAGAATATACTATACATAATTTAACTAATTTGAATCCACAAAACTTGCACTTATACAGTTTAGACAAATTGTATAAATGTCTGAAATTAAACATAAAATTACAGATTAATTTTCCCATTACCCAATAGACAATAATATATAATACCCAGTTCATGTATATACGTTGTAAAACTCCTACTGAAACACGTTCATTGATTTCCAATTTGATGCTGGAATTTTAATGACATTTATCCTGTTTCTACCTAATGCTAGACTATCATTTTGACATTGAATTGTTATGATCAGGCAAGCAGCAATTGAATGAATCCTCACTTTTCCCTCTTCTCATTTGACTGTAACAGGCAATTTTGTTTAAAAATGATATTCCTTGTCAATTTCTATGAGAACTTACGTGTTCATGTGATGTGATTATACAAAACACAAATTTGACCAATTTTTTTTGAGTTTAATAAAGCTTTGCAAATGCAGTTTTAGTCAGATGCAAGATCAAATCAGTTTTCTGCAGTCAACAAGCTTACTGTGAACATACCCCACAGATTTGGCTAAACACAACCAAGTGATTGATGTAGACAACACAGTTACATAGTTATTCAATGACTTTGTTAATTATTGACAAGTTGTGTGAGCATTTTTCATTCTAAGCACATAACTTTACATTGATAAATTCCATCAGTTGTTACAAGACTGATATTTCTTTTGTTCTGTTGGTTAATGGAACTGTCGACTATCCTTTTACTTAGTCGATTTTGGTGCCAAATTCTGTGCATCCAATTCTTTCAATACAAGCCTCCAATCATTGAATAGAATAGTCTCAGCTTTTGTTACAATGTTGATTTTGCTATAATCAATACAGAATGTCTGCAACCCATCCAGTTTCAGCACCGTCATGATAGTTGAGCTTGTGCTACTATGAATTTGATCATGCACCACATCTACTCAAACACTAGAAGGTCCGGTTTCAAATCCCATCTGTTCCAGAGGTGTGTAATAACATCTCTGAACTGGTTGATTAGAAGATAGTTATAAATGTAAAAACCTGATATGGAATTATTTGCAGTATCACAGCAGAATTACAAACACTACTGGAATTGAAATACTTGTTTCAGTTAAATAAAATTTGTCAGAAAATGATCAAATAAGTCATTAGTTATACTAATAATTAATACCAACAATAATCTTTATGGGCACAGTGCAATTATTTGAATCAAACAATAAAAAGTGGTACTGACGTGATGAAGTGTTAATCATTGGCCTGTTTGAAAGCCTGGATTTAGCATTCAAGTTTGGCCCTAACTTCTAATTAAAATGGTTCAAACTTGCCTCAAGATGTTGAATCAGAAACCTGTGTGTTGGACATGTATATGCTGAGTAGGCACAATATTTGTGAAGTAGTAAAAAGTAGGCTCCTTGCACTCTTTTCCACTAAAGAAAAGCACAGCGTGCTCTAGTGAAGTCTTGACAAAGTGTTCTAGAAAGTCTCCTGATGTGGTTCAATAGTTCCTCATCTCAGCTCTCAATGACCCTGAAGTGGTGATTATCCCTTTAAGTAGCACTTGAACTCAACATCAACACCATGCTTATACCCAGAGAGCTGGTTGTTGTTCGAAGAAGGCATTAGGACAAGTGATAGCCACCAAAATGTTGAGCAACCTATAATGAGCACGAGCAGAGATTTTAATAACAAAAACTTACATTCATACAGCACCTTTAGCATAGTGAAACATCCCATGGTGTGTCAAAGGAACGTTATAAAATAGGTGCATCACAAATCCACATAAAGAGACATAGAGAACATAGTTTATTTAAAACTAAGATTTAAAGGCAGGCAGAAAAGCAGGAGGAGCACAGCAGGCCAGGCAGCATCAGATGAGCAGGAAAGTTGACGTTTCAGGTCAGGACCCTTCTGAAACGTCAACTTTCCTGCTCCTCTGACACTGCTTGGCCTGCTTGTTCCTCCAGCTCCACACTGTGTTATCTCTGACTGCAGCATCTTCATTTCTTACTATCTCTGAGAAAAGCAGGAGGGACTCGTGCTGATGGCTGGGGCAGTAATTATTCACAAGTAAGTAAAATGCCAAATCGTAATGGCAAGTGGGCAAAAGGTTCTGTAATTCCTATGGCACTTGTTCAGCCCCATACTCCAGGCACCATATTTAAAAGCCACCCAGACAGCACCTCATTCTCTGCAACATTACCCTGCAACTTCTGCTCATTATCCTCATCCACCACTGGAGACATCAGAGACCAGGCAAAAGCAGTGCTATATTTTAGCAATGCCATCCTCAACCTTCTCCCAAGAACTGTTCACTACAGAAGAGAAGTTTATTTTCCCTATGGATAGCAACAAGAAACCATGCTGACTGGCAAAGGCAGTCTGCAATTTCAGCACTTGTGGGTAGCTCAGAAATACCTGACTCCAATCCCACAAGGGGACGCATGATCTGTTGTATTCTGCCAGAGTATGTGCCACTGTCCTACACAATACTTCATGCTCCTGTGAGTAAGCATTATTAAGCTGCCACTGCAGAGGATTGTCACAGATAGATTAGACCATAGGACCTGAAATAGGCCATTCAACCCATCAAGTCTGCTCTGCCATTCAATGAATCTTGGCTGATCTGTTAATCCACAATTCTACACTCCGGGCATATTAAAAGTCTGTTTATCTTGGCCTTGAATATACTTAATGACTCAGCCTCCACAGCCGTCTGTGGTAAAAGAAAATCACAGAATCATAACCCTTTGAGAAAAGAAATTCCTCCTCAACTCTGACTTAAATGTTCAATCATTATTCTGAGATTATGCTCTCTGGTCCTACACTCCCACAAGTGGAAACAACCTTTCCACATCTACATTGTCATGTGCTCTAAGAATATTGTATGTTTCAATCAGGTCATTGTCTCATTCTTCTATATTCTAATGAGTAAAGGC